ACCCCTGATTAAATTTAGGGGCAAGTGCAGACGTGTTACGTGAAAGCGGGTGCAGGTGCGGATATAGTTAAACCCGCCCCTGCCCCACCCCATTGTCATCCCTACTCCAACTAATATAAAACACCTATATAAAAGCATAATTAAATATCTATTACACCCCTCATTCGCAACGTGAGTCACGACATGGTTTGCATATCGAAGGAATAGTGACAAGGCCTGATTTTGATCTTCATAGACATAATATGGACTTTGAAATTCATATAAGAAGAAATTTGCAGCAAACTTTGTGCGCCCTAACTTAAACTAAAATAAAGTAGGACGAAAATGAAATAACATTTCTATTAGATTCTCAATAGTGTCGTTTAATTAAAAATTAGAAAAAAATTGCATATATTAAAATCAATAAAAGTGAGGTGAGGATGAAAAACATACCAAATATTCTTCAAAAGTGAAAAATAAATAACCATAATTGATTAAGGTACACATATTAAATGAGAAACAGTAGAATTTCAAAATCCAAAGTATAAAAGAACATTTTTTATTTCCATAAGGTTTAAGAGAAATAACAAGAGTGCAATAAAGAATCCCTTAATCAATATGTTTAAATATATAAAAAAATATATGATGCGTAAACAAAAGCCTACTATAGCGTCCAAGATGTGAAACTTCATCGTGGATGTTCTAATATCTATTTATAAATATTATTGAAGTTGGCAGTGTTATAGAAAAATTAGTATTTCAAGTCCAATAACCGGATATTGCATTTTGGTAATCGGTTATAAAGTATAATATTTTTGGTTTTTAGAACAGTTGTAACTGACTATCAATGTGTTTAAATTGTTTTAGAAATAATTGTAATCGATTACTGTGTTTTGGTAACCGGTTACAAACAATCAATTTCAGTTTTTCTGTTATTTTGAGTTTGTTGTTTGTATCTCAATCTAATGTAATTGTATATATACATTGGAGGTATCAACGAATTAAATACATAACATATTCTCACCCTCAATTATGTTCAATGCATATGATGGGGAGGAAAGATCGGTTTGTCACAGTCAACCGTGCCGTGAAGAATAAAGTGAAATTCGCAGATAACACCACTCTAGCGGCAGAAGGGATCAATGATGTATCGATCAAGAGAAAGGATGGTAGACATTATTTGATAAAGGATGTGTTGTATATTATTGGAATCAAGTGTAATCTTCTAAGTCTTGGCCAATTGCTTGAGAAGGGTTACAAGATTTGTATGGAGAACAGGGCGTTACACGTTATGGATGAAAACAAGGTTTTGAACCTAAAAGCTTTTATGGCTGCCAATAGAAGTTTTAAACTTGAGTTGAAGGTTATGGGGCATAAGTGTCTTGCTACAACGGCTAGTCGAGAAGAGTGAATCTGAAACTATAGGCTTGGGCATCTCAATTTTATAGATCTCAATGCTTTGCAAAAGAGTGGAATGGTGATGGGGTGTCATTGATCAACATACCGACCGAAATTTGTGAACAATATGTGCAAGAGAAATTCAGCATGGATGCAAGTTGTAGAACCAAACATCACTTTGAGGTCGTGTATTCCGATGTGTGTGAACCAATGCAACTTGGTTCGATTTGTAGGAATAGATATTTTTTCACATTCATCAATGATCATAGTAGAAAGCTATGGACATACCTAATCAAGAGAAACGAAAAGGTATTCAAAGTGTTTAAGAAGTTCAAGTCCATGGTTGAAAGGAAAAAGGGTCACAGGCTTAAAGTTATCAAAACAAATGGTGGAGGTGAATATGTTTCAAATGAATTTGGGAGGTTTTGCGATCATGAAGGGATAATACATGAGGTAGTACCAACTTATACGTCGCAACAAAATGGTGTTTCTAAAAGCAACAATCGATCGATTATGAACATGATGAGAAGCATGTTGAAGGGGAAGAACTTGCCGGAATATTTATGGGGAGAAGCGGTGTCCACAACTGCATATTTGTTGAATATGTGTCCAACAAAGAAGCTTGAAAAGATAACACCGGAAGAAGCTTGGTTTGTATTGAAGTCGAACATTAGTCACTTGAGAGTTTTTGGCTCGGTGGCATACCAACATGTGTTAAATCAACTTAGAAAGAAGTTTGATGGCAAGGGAGAATTGATGATACTTGTAGGGTATCACTCTACCAGAGGTTACAAGTTTTATGATGCAGCAAACAGAAGGATTATGATCAGCTGAGATGTCATTTTCGACTAAATCAAACAGCTATAGCTTCCTATAATTGGTTACCAGACAATTGTAACCTATTATAGCTGTGAAAATCAGTTTCTGCAGAGTTAGAAAGCGCAGAACCATCCCTCATCGAAGCCCGAATTGAAGAGAATGTTAGAAGATCAATAAGGCAAAGAGACTTGCCTCCAAGACACCATGATTATGAGCAGTTCTGAGATAACAAAGTCAATAATGATGGTGATTTCGTCCTTTTTGCACTTATGGTCGAATCTGAACTCGTTAAAATAGAAGAGGCTTGAGTGATCCAAAATGGGGTTGTGCTATGAAGGGGGAGCTGGAATTTATTGAGAAGAACAAGACCTGGGAGTTAGTTGATCTACCGAAAAGAGAGAAAAAAAAACCAATTAGTGTAAGATGGATGTATGAAGTGAAGGCAAATCCCCAGGGTGAAATAACCAAGCATAATGCTCGATTAGTTGCGAACATATTTTTGTAAAGAAAAGACACAGAATTTGAAGAGGTATTTGCATTGGTGGCTAAAATTGAACCCATTAGGCTAGTTATTGGTATTGCTAATAACAACAATTTTCTCATCTACCAAATGGATGTTAAATATGTATTTTTGAACGGACCACTTAAAGAAGTAGTTTATGTAGAACAACCCCCTCGTTTTGTTGTGAGAAACCAAGATTCAAAGTTCTACAAGTTGGAGAAAGCATTGTACGGTTTGAAACAAGCTCCAAGAGCTTGGATTAAGAGAATATATGGTTTCTTAAAGGAGTTCGAAATCAAGAAGTGTGCATCCGAACATGGTGTGTATATGAAGAAGTATAAAAATGAAGAGGTGGTAATCCTTTGTCTATACGTAGACGATTTGTTGATCAAGGGAAACGACAAAAAGTGCATTTCTAAGCTCATGAGTGAGCTTATGAAAGAGTTTGAGATGACCGACCTTACCTTCATGACATACTTCCTTGGTATTGAGTTCTACAAGTCCAAAAAGGGACTGCTCAAGCACCAAAGAAGGTATGCATTTGAGATTTTGAAGAAGTGTGAAACAGAGTATTGTAATGTTACCATTACTCCGGCTAAATCGAGACTATAGTTGTCGAAGAATGTGGATGAGAAAAATGTTAATCCAATTCAGTATAGAAGGTTGATTGGATCCTTGCGTTACTTGTGCAATATGCGATTGTATTTGGCGTTTAGTGTCGGTATTGTGAGAAGATTCATGAAGAGACCGAAGGTATCTCTCTTGGCAGCAATCAAGAGGATTCTAAGATACGTCAAAGGATCTATTGAGTGCGAAATTCATTTTTCCGTAATGGAGACAGGTGGAAAATACAATTTGCTCACTTTTATCGATTCTAATTGGTACAGAGATAAAGATGATAAAAAGTCTACAACTTGATACATCTTTATGTTGGGTGAAACACCAATCTCATGGTGTTCGAAGAAGGAACCAGTAGTCGCAGTCTCTTCTTGTGAAGTCGAGTACATTGTCGCTTCGTTGTTTGCGTGTAAAGTCGTGTGGTTGACAAATCTGTTGAAGGAGCTGGAAGCGAAAAGGGTAACGTTGTAACGCTCATGGTTTATAAAGTTACAACTATAAATCTTGTTAAGAACTCAATTGCACATGGGAGGAGCAAGCATATTGAGACGAGGTTTCACTACTTGAGAGAATTTGTTAGTGAAGGAAGGTTGAGATTGATATATTGTAGAAGTGAAGACCAAGTGACTGATTTGCTAACTAAGAGAGTGACAATTGAAGTGTTCATGAGATTGAAGAAGAACGTAAACATGAAAGATTTAGAACATTTAAATTAAAGTGATGTGTTGTGAAAAAATCATTAATTCAAGTATATAACCAATTTCTGCATTTTGGTAATTGATTACAAGATATAGTATTTTTAGTCTTTAGAACTGCTATAACCAGTTACCACTTTGTAGAAATAGTTGTAACTGGTTACTCCCTCCCTCACTGTGGTTTCAAATTCTATTATAGACTTAGAGACTTATTATTAATGCTTTAATATCAATTTATAAATATCATTGAAGTGATAAAAAATGTGACCATTTGTATCAAATACGTTTAGTCAAATTTTGTTTCAATTGCAAATAGTAACTAATAATTTTTATATTTGGATAAAAAATTGGAAATTAATTATCATGCAAGGTAGGTGTAAAATAATTTATGCACCTCACAACCACAACCATCCATTAACATGACGTTAAAAACTAGTTATAATATCTCTAATAATTTTAAGGTTGTGATTGAATGTCACACTAATAGTATATATCAATTAAATTTAAAAGAAACAATAATTTGATCAATTTTTCATCAAATTAGTTAAATTTAATGCAGAAAAATCCAAATGAATATTCAAACATACCAAATTGCTATTAATTGTATCATGCTAGTACTTGTTACTTCAAAGTAAACAATACTAGTGATTGAGTCTAGAAGGGTTCCTCTTTCTATGTAGTAAATCATGTTTCAAATCTCTTCTAAGCATTACATTCACATTAAATTGTATAACATGAAAAGGCAAATGAAAGATAGAGATAGAGTTATACATTTAAAATTAAATTTTCAAGTAACACAAGTCTCAGGATACAAGAAAATATGTTCATTAAGGAATCTAACACATGAACCATACAAATATTTGTATTGATTTTTACATGCCATGTATCTGCTATCACAAATTGAAAAATCCCTTTAATACTTGTTGGAGTTCATAGATCTGTTTTCAAGTATGAAAGCAATGCAATGCTATCTTTGTTTGTCCCCTAACTCATACAGCAGTTGGTGTTTCCTCTGAGGGCAGTATCTTCTTACCTTTTGTCCTTTTTAATTCCCATATATCCTTAATCTGAGTTTTCGGAGGTGGTGTTGCTTCTACAATTGGAGCAACTAATCCTGGTTTTCCGTCATCAATAACCTCATCAATCAAACCGTATTCCTTTGCTTCCCAAGGATTCATATAATTATCCCAATCCGTGTCCAATGCAATCTGCATAAAAATAAAGTAAATTAAAAATGGTGAAAATATATGCATCATCTTGGACGATAAAAAAACTAAATGATGTAATTCTAACCTGCTCTTCAGGCTTTCGTGTAATTCTTGATAGTATCTTGTTTATCTTAATCCTGTGGTATGACATTTCTCTCGCACGAATGCGCATTTCGGTAGCCTGTAATTACATTTCACTGTTTAGTAATGATATATAATGGAAGGCTTTTGCTCAGAACCACCGGATAAACGACATCACGAGTTCATAAAAGATGGCCAAAAATTGAAGCATGTTAAACAAATGAATTAAATACAAAAACACATAGCTTCCATATCCTATACTTCTACAACACATACTTCAAATCTAAAATTAGCTTAAACTTAAACATAATTATCTTATCTGCATTCAAAAAAAAAGAAAAATAGCCATGACAAACTTCAGACCTATTACTAACTGACAATAATCAAAACCAAAGGATATAAGTGGACAGTCTTACTGATCCGCCAACAGACCCGAGCGGTTGATGAATCATAACTTTAGAATTCGGCATACAATATCTCTTCCCTTTTGTTCCAGCAGCAAGGATAAATGCACCCATGGATGCTGCAATTCCAAGGCACACTGTTGACACATCTGCCTTGCATAACTTCATGACATCATAAACTCCCATTCCTGCAGAAGACAGGCTTATTTCAGATCCATTAAAGGCTGTTCCTTTCCAATACTCAATGATTCAATAAACCGAGTTCCTTATGGATAGAACCATTCAAAAGTAAAATCTATGAGCAATCAATCAACAAAATTGACCTCGAGATTCAAGTAGATCCATGACGAGTCAAGTGCACAAATAAGAACAAACGAATAAGAACAAACAAGTAAAAAAGGTTGAGTAAAACATTGTTTACATACCAGCAGTAATAGAACCACCGGGTGAATTTATAAACAACTTGATGTCTTTCGTAGGGTCTTCCGCATCCAAAAACAAAAGCTGACTGATTACTAAATCTGCAGTCATTTCATCCACCTGCTCAAACAAAGAAATTCACAAACACACCATTAGGTACAGATACTGTCTCTTCAGTTCCATTTCATTTTCCCTCTTTGTTCTTTCATTTTTCTACCACCTTTACAAAATGAAACCCCATTAACTAACAACCATAAACATATCCCAAAATCAACAATATCAAACACCTTGTCTGCAATTCAACACTTATCATATCAATTCTCATTTTTCAATACCATTTTCCCCTATTTGTCAATTTTTCTACTGTAGTGCAAATGCTATTAGACTGAACCCACATGAACAAGTTTGTAAATTTCCCATAAAAACATAAAAAATACAAAAGGGTACTCTTAAAATATCAAAATAACAGCAACAACCCCACCAACCCAGAAAAATGGGAAAAAAGATTCATAACCTGAGAACCCAAAAAGACAATTCTTTGACGGAAAAGCATGTTGGTAGTGTCAAGTTCTTCGAAGTTGGGAAGCCATGGAGAAGCAGTTTTGGCAGATAAATCATCGGAAACGAGCCAGTTGGAGGATAGAGTGGGTCTGATTGCGTTTAAGATTGTTGTTCTGCGTTTGGTTGAAAGATTGAGGGTGGGAATTTGAGAGTGGAAAATGTTATTGTTATGCTTCAAGAGCGTCTTGTTCGATTTGAAGCTTAGTGGCATACACGTTGAGGCTAAACTCACTTCCATTTTCTTGTTTTCTTCTTCTTCTTTGTTTTGGTAACTATACAAACGAATGGGGGAAAGACCATTTTGTCTATTTGGTATGAAAATGAAATGAATGTATTGGGTTTAGATGTTGGGCTTTAATTTTATAACCAAGCCCAATTATTAAACCTTTGGGAATTGTTCAAGGAAATTTTTTTCCCACCTCTATAAGATCTCCAAAATCTTTGACGAAAAGTAAAAAATGTTTTCTATTTTTAAAGATATATTTTCGAACGTATCGTTACCGCACAAAATAATCACAAATGTTTGGGTATTTTTCGCTTTGCTAAAATTTAATTCGGAGATGAATCTTTGTATGTGTTTTAGAGTTTGTTCGCAGATACATCTCTGAATTAACTTTTATTTTTAAATTCAAATATTTTTTCGAAGATGCATCTTCGAACGCGTTTAATTTATATATAATACGTGCGGACAAACCCTTATCTCCTTCTTCATTTTCTAAAACTTTTACAAACCTCCATTGGAGCTTGTGAGCAACCTTTTGCAAACAATTTTTTAAGGAATAGTCGTGCCTCTACTTCAATAGTACCGATAACAACTCACTCCATACTACATTCAACATTTTTTCGTCCTCATCGACACTTTTTTTGAGTAAGTTTATCATTTAACTTTTTGTTTTTATTTTTTTTATTAATGTATTAGGTAAAATAGTCAATTTTAAATGCATAATCAAAATAGATAACTGTTAGAGATATGCACTCTGATTTGGTTGCATTTTTTGTTGTTAGGGAAAGATTAATTTTTCTTCCATTGTTGCAAACATGAGTTTTTCGGAGATACATTTCTGAATTATATCCTTGCTGGTTTTCGGATATGCATATCCGAAAATGTCATGGAGTTGGCAAACTGATGTGTTTTCCTTGTATTTTTCAAGAAGAATAGATGCAAACAACGACGAAAGAATGAAACTCGGTTGTGAAATCTAGCATGCGTTCGTTTGACGTCAGAGAGCTAGACTTCAAAATGAGTAGGCCAGAGCTAAGCGAGGAACTGTCCCTAAGCCTCTTGACAGGTAAGCATCAATTTCTAAGAGCCTCTTGTCACAGAGGTCTTCATTCCAGTGGCATGTCTCCCCTACTCACGTTGACCGGGAGGAAGCTCCTGCAACACATGATGGTTTTTCTCCACTTGCAAACGCTTATCAAGGAGGGACCTCTAATACATCCTTACCAATATACTATAGAGATCGTATTGTTGAGCATATCTGAGCCAAAGAGGTATATTTATTAACGACTATTATTTATATATTTTAAACAAATTCCCCGCGACTTATACTTTTTTTTTTAATATGAGCGAAAATGTTTGAAGTCTGTTAACCACAACAAAAAGATTTTGAACCTTTATCAAACCTAAGCATGATTGGTTCTAAAGTGTCATCTGATACTTCAAGTCTTGGTTGCCTATGTTGTTCTGTGTACAAGACCATTAGTCGTGGCATGCATAGGGCTTTGTTGAAAGATGACTTAAGAAAATGTCATATTTCCACTTTCCCATTGGCGAGACAACAAAGCAAATGACATGTTTCTGCACCCCGTTGACGGAAATTTCCATAGCCATTAATAATTTTAAAATCACTTATTTTCACTTGTTACTAATATTTTTTTCTTTATTCATTTTCAGAGATGTATCATATCCCACTTTCACCGCATACACGAGTTTTATCGTGTGCCAGAGTATAATGAGGATTGACCACGTGCTTGTCTATATTATATATACAGAGGGAATGATGTTATGTGGCTATTCTGTGTGCATATTGACCGGACTCAACATGATGACATCGATTGGACACCATACACCACTCACCAGGACAGTGTGGCCTTCGACCCTATTTTATTTTACTCTGGATGACTGGCATGTGGACGAATCTGATGTGCAGGTATCTGTCAGAGCAATGCATGCATCACTTTAGATACGTGCATATCGTTCTGAGATCCCCTTTGTGTCTGTTCCTAATAGCATCATCCATATACATCTTGATGACATACTGACGAATTACGAGAGTCATCTAGTACCAGAGGAGTATCAGAGTATGTCAGCCACAAATTAGTGGTATTATGTAGACAGTTACATGACTTGCTTTTGTAGTGTGTCACACCCTGTCATGACATCAGACACTCATGGACGTCCACCTAGGCCTGCTCATGAGGATATCCTAGAGAATAAGCAGACCAGGGATGACCATGTCATTAATGTGTTTTCGATCTGTCATAGCACGTTCCATTTTAAGTGAGACACAAAATGTCTTGGGTTACCGGCGAAAGAGGATGAGCCATGAGGTTAGAATTAGGCATACGCAATTGGTTATGTGTTATGGTTTTATTTGTATTTGGGAATTTTTCATATTATTTTCCACTAATCAGTTACCACTGTAATGATATTTCTGGTTTTTAGCAGTAATAACCAGTTACAAGTTTTGTGTAACCGATTATAGGTTAGAGAATTTAGTTTTTTCAGTTATTTGATGTTGTAACTTATGTCTCCATCCACTTGTAAGCACTTATATACCTTATATGTATTGTCTTCAATGTTAATGATAATTCTCACCTTCAATTTCTCTCTCCCTATCCACACTCAATTTCTCTATTATTCATTAATCTTGTGGTTCCAAGTTATAACATTTAGTATCAAAGTCTGGTTCTGATCCACAAACACCTAGTGTGCAACGTGAATTATGTATCCAATGAAATAATCCCTAAAAACCTACTCGTCCTTGATGCTAAAAATTACGACAAATAATGCAAACAAATGAAAGTGTTGTTTGACTACCAAGATGTTCTTGAAGTGATCAAGAAAGAGGTGAATCCTCTTGCCGAAGGTGCAACAGATGCACAACGAGCAACACATAAGGAAGATAAGAAGAAAGATTTCAAGGCGATGCTTTTGATTCATCAATGTGTGGATGGTGATAACTTTGAGAAAGTTGTTTAATGTGAATCATCAAAGTAAGCATGGGAAATCTTAGAGAAGGCATACATAGGGGCTGACAAGGAGAAGGTGGTGAGGTTACAAACTCACAAACGTCAACTTGAATTGATTCAAATAGAGGAAAAGGAGACGATAAATGATTTTACACAAAGAATCACTCGATTAATGAATCAGGTGAAGGCATGTGGAGAAACAATCACAGAGTAGTATGTTGTCACGAAAATCTTGCGTTCTTTAACGCCAAGCTTTGACAACGTGGTTGTAGATATTGAGGAATCGAATGATCTTATGAAGATGAGCAAAGAGGTGTAGCAAAGCTCTCTTGAGGCTCATGAGAAAAGAACGGATGAGAGAAATAATGATAAGGCAAAGGCGGAAATCTCTTTGCAAGCTCATTTCAACGATGAGGACAAGAGATCGAAAGGAAAATGACCCATGAAGAGTAAAGGGGATTTTTAGAATTTCGATGGAAGATAGTCCTAAAGTTCTAAGAATTTGACTAATCAAAGGGGTGGGAGAAACTGCAACAAAAATGGTGGTCAAAGCAACTTTAGAGGTGAAAGGAAGAGGATTGACAAAAGCATGGTGTAATGCTTTAATTGTCAATGATTCAGTCATTTTGCAAAAGAGTGCAATGTGAACAAGAAGGAATCTCAAGGAGATGAAGGCAAGGTCACAAAACAAGAGTTTAATAAAGGAAATACACTCATGGTTATGATCAAAAAAAGGGAATGCAACAACAACATGTTGCGGGAAAACATCAACAACGATTTTGAAAATGTTGCAGAAATATGCTATAACCAGTTACGTACAAGTTGTAACCAATTACAGGCAGAATAAAATGTCATGATGAGTACGAGAGGTTCAGTTCAGTGCAATAAGGATTGGTATTTGGACGTCAGGTGTTCTACTTATATGATGGGGAGGAAGTATTGGTTTGTTAAAATCAATCGTTCCATGAAGAGCAAAGTGAAGTTCGCGGATGACACCACTCTAGCGGCTGATAGGATCATTGATGTTTTGATCATAAGAAAGGATGGTGGACATTCCTTGATCAAAAATGTATTGTACATTACAATAATCAAATGTAACCTTCTAAGTATGAGCTAATTGCTTGAGAAGGGTTACAAGATTCATATGAAAAACAAAGGACTACGCGTTATAAATGCAAACAGTGTTTTGGTCTTTCAAGCTCTTATGACTACCAATAGAACCTTTAAGGTTGAGCTAAAGATTATGAAGCTCCTATGGATGTCAAGTGAAAAGAGAGACAATAAAGAGACGAGAAGATGATAGAAAGAGAAGTGAGCATAAACTAAGAATTGTATGCCACCATACAATCACTACAAGCATGTGCTCACCCTCTTTTATCATTAACTTTACTCTTTATTTACAATGTCCCTCTCCCCTCTCCTATCCTTTTCAACCAACATTATTACTTCATTATTTATACCAATCACAATAATGACATCGTTAATAGTATTGTGTTATGCATTGTATGAGAAAAATAGATGTTGGAGTGAAATAAATAGGAAAAAAAACATACACGCATATATAATTAACCAACCAGTTTTTACATACTCTCTCCGTTCCATAATAAATGACTCATTTGACTTTTCTCGCAGATTAAAAAACAAGAATAAATGAATGAGAGAGAGTGATATTTTTATTAAAAGATAAATATTTTGAATGATAAAAATAATATTAATTAAAGGATAAATTTAAAAAAGAAAACTTATAAATTAAAATTGATCATTCATTTTGATATACTTATTTATTTCAAATGAATCACTATTGTGAAAGAGATGGATTAACATTTTTTTTTCTTCCAATAATTCTTACAAAACATGTGGCATTGCAATTCTTGTTATCTCTGTGCACACAGCTCCATGGCTCTTTCATTTGCTCACAATCCTCCTCTTCGTCTTCACGGAAACAAAACCCCTTTTGCTATTCAATCTCAAATCAAACCTTCATCAAAACCAAACATAAATTCCTTACAATTGCTTCAATTCCCATCTATTCGGTGTTCCTCAAGCTCCAACAACAAAACCAGCAGCGTCAACCTCAGAACTTGCAAGAACTGCAAAACCCAATTCGACCCTTCCCTCAATCACCCTCTTGCTTGTCGATTTCATACTGCCCATTATGGAGGTACCCCACTTATTTTCTTATGTGTTTATGCATTATCCATGTTAAAGTTGCCATCTTGATCAGCAATGTTTTGATACATCAGTAATTAGATACTATAAAACTAGGTTTCTTTGGTATGAATTTTCACGAAGCATGTTTTAGGTTCAAAACAAAGTTCGAAACTTCAACTCTGAGTTTGGCAGAAAATAGGATGGATAATGGTGCTAAATAGCCAAACCAGTCATAAATGGGAGTTTCTCAATCTACCTCTCTATATGTTCAATTCTGCCAATATGCACTACTAGAGGGATCTTTCTGGTAGCATTTTAGGGGGTAGATTGAGAAACTCTCGCCATAAATATTGCTCCTCTCGGGACGCATTTGTGATGATTATTATATGACATTTAGCATTTTTTTGTTTTATAAATACTTTCAATTTTGTCCAATCAACATTGATGCAAATTTGTGAATTTTAATGATTTTAATTTGCATTACTATTTCGATATAATAAGTTGGCAATATGTCATTCAATTTTCCTCAACTGCAGGAGAAACTAAGAGAAAGTTTGAGAGTGTCTATGAAGGGGGCACCATGAACACTCCTGGCTCTGGAAAAGTTCTTCAGTATTGGCATTGTTGCGGATCTGAAGATCCATTTGATCTCGGTTGCACCGCTTCTCCTCACACCTCATATGATGACTGATTTAGATGCCATGAATCTGTGATTCACTTTCTCTGTTGACGATTCTTTTTTTCTAAATACAGTTTCTGAACTCTTGTAAAAAATCATTGATTCATTAGTTTCTGAAAATATAGCTTCTTCATGCAAACAACCGCACAGTATGTGAATACACAAATCTGTTGCTCAGTTCAAATGCTCCATTGCCAGAAACATGACATTGTGAAAAATGCTCTATAAATTTGAGACTAAACTAATATTAAGGAAACTGTTAAAGTGATGCGTATTATGAGGCTATGCCCGAAAAAGATGAAGATTGAATTTTCACTAATTGTTTATGACAATATCTTGGGCTCTGGCCTAAAGTGATATTGCGTTTTCGAGGTATTGTCTGTTATAAATATTGTGTGATACTTCAAGAACTAGTTGAATCCTTAATTGATTGTGTTGAAGTATTGTTTTGGTGGTAGTTGAAGTTAAAGGCAAAATAAAAGCTTGAAGTTTGGTATATGAAGGAAGGTTTCATTATCACATTTGGATCACCATTCATTTAATTTAAAGAAACTTTTTTTATATTCCAATGCCAATATTCATAGGCAACCCCAAGATTCTTATATACTTTTTTATAGTTAATATTTGTGTCTGAATTTCAAATTGCTAAACAGTATACCTTTCTTGAGTATGTAGAATTAAAGTTCCTTTCTTCTATTACCTTTTTCAAACCTACTACCTTAGACAAACATAGAAAATATTTCCTAGTGCTCTAAAGGAGTTTATTGCAAATGGATGATCAAAATGAGCCAAATTCTCCTAATACATTGGTACAGTGTCGAATATGTCACGACGAAGATGAAGACTTAAACATGGATGCACCTTGTTCTTGTTCTGGTACATTGCAGTATGCACATAGAATATGTGTTCAAAGATGGTGCAATGAGAAAGGTGATACTACTTGTGAGATTTGTCTACAGGTTTGCACTTTGTTGCTGTTGTCTCGTTCAAATTTGTAAGGAAAAAAATGGTTAATTATCTTCCGCTTTATCTCGTTGATCCTGTTGTTAAATGCAGCAACTTAAAGGCTATACTGCTCCTCCACAAGCTCCTTTATTCCGCTATAGGTATTTAATTATTTACTCTTTAGTTAATTTTCGTTTTTACGAATCAAATGATGATAGAAGATTGTTAATCATCTTTCAGGGGAAACTGGGAAATTCCAAGAATCGGTCTTAATAATCATCCGTTCATAGCATTGTTTCCTGCTAATCATGAATTTCTAGACTTTGACTTCGAATATTCAACTCCCTCTAGAAGGAGTCGTTTGTTCATTCGCATTGTTGCCATCATTGTACTTTCCATTTGCTCCCTATGTTCAAGCTATTCAAGTTTACTATTGAATCAATGCAATTTCACTTTACAATAAGGTTGTTTTCGTATCTGTCTATTGCAGTTTATCGTTCTGCTAGTTTTACGGCATACACTTCCAATCATATTTATACTCGATGGAGTAGAAGAGTCTTCTTTGGCAGTGATTACGGTAAGATAATAAAAACTTCAGAACCTTTTGAATTAGTCGAAATGAAAATTTGATTTCTTAAATGTATTGTATTGGATCAGTTGCTAATGTGGGGAGTCACTGGAATAATTGTACCAGTGTATATAATGGTAAAAGCTATTCAACAACTTCAAAACCAGGTTTTTAACCAACTCAATATTTTTGTTCTTAAACATTTGTATCAAGTTATCTGTTACAAAATCTATAGCATTGAACATTTGGTTTTTGCTTTATCTTTCTGCACAGGCTCATAATCCCCTTGTGCAATTGCAATCACATGATGAAAGAAACATGAGGCAGTCTCAGTTGCGTGTCATTCGTATTCATTGATTTTATGGTCTACAACAGATGAAGATTGATCCAGTTCATCGTTTGAAAAAGTGAATCAACATAACTAGATGTTATTGTACATAATTATGTAAAGTTTGTTCTTGTTGAAATATAAGCTCTATACCAAATCATCCTTTCAAGTTCTGTCTACCATTGGTTTAGATGAACACAAACATATCAAACATATGGATAAAATAAGGAAGGAAATAAAACATGGTCTGAATATTCAAATCCGAATTCATCCCATTGTTATCATGTACGAAGAATACATATGGAATATCTTTGAATATTGAAATTCGGATTCACCTTTGTTAACCCAACACACACACACACACATATATATATATATATATATATATATATATATATATATATATATATATATATATATATATATATATATATATATATATATATATATATAATATAGGGTTTTTTCGAATATTGAAATCCAGATTTTCTCCAGTCAGCATCACACATATTTGTCCAAATAGTTGAATCCAAATCCCGTATTAGCATCATACTTGATGCATCGTACTTGACCAGTTGGCTGTACTTGTTTTATAGTATTCAATCACATCAAAACATTAATTTTAATATTTATACAAATAATGCTAAATATTCATTATAACACCTCAAAATGTATCCGGATTACATTCTTGAAAATAATTAATTAACATTACATCCAAAAAAAAAAGTTGTGGCACCACCTAAATGCTTTAAGCATTAAAGTATTGTAAGGTAAAAATTAAAAGTGCATCAAAAAAATGTGTCACCACTTAAATTTATTAGTGGTTCCAGCTTTGACTTTTTCTAATTTGATACTTTTTCAATATCGACCAATTTGAAAAACTCTTCAATCCTATTCAAAAAAGTATTTGACTAAGTTTTAACTTCTTTTATGGAATGAGATGTCTATTCAGGAGATGTTCTATTGATAATGTGACTCTACAAACAAGGGTAATTGTGGGGGTTTGAAAAACAGTTGTTCAAAATGAAAAAATATTTTCATTTTAAGAAAACGTTTGAATAATAGCCGCGGAAAAACAACAAAAAGAGGATATTCGAAAAACAAAAAGTTAAGGGAAAAAAGAATAGACCAAAATTTATAGAGGTTCGCTCTAATGAAGTAATTGACTCCTCTCCTCAAGACTTGATCTTGAGAGTACAATAATTCTTATAAACTTTTAGTAGGTTGAGCTTACAAACCTATTTACACAAGGACAATGAAGTTTCAGGTTAATTTGCAACCAAACAATGAACAACAAAGTCAAGTGATTAGTCTTACTTCCAAACACGAACTTAAAGCGGTTAGTCCCCAAGTTAAACCGAGATCTCTACGAAATTATCTCGAACCAAAGGTGGAGTTTTGAACTAGATGTCCTTTGAACCGAACAAGAGTTTTACATGGGCTGACCTCAAACCGAATTGAGATTTTACACCAGGCTAATTTCAAACAAATGTGAAGCTTTTGCACAGGCTAAACTCACGAACCGAGTTGAATTTTTGCACAAGGCTAATCTCTAATCAAATAGAGCTCTTACGTATGTTGAGCTCTCAAACCGAACCAACGACCTTAAAACTAAATCCCCAAACAAATCTTTTAATGAGTTTAGCTTTGAACAAAAGAAAAACACTATCTTAATAGAAAAATTATTCAACCAAAAGAAAAATACTCTTTCGTGAATTTATAATATCACCTTTTTCAAGAACAAATTTGTTCTCACCAAACACAAGAACTTTCTCGAAGCATAATGAAGATTCATATATGTGTTGCTTAGCAATTTTCCTTTAAGTTGTTCAGTTTGTATATAATTGTCTGTTATATCTAAAGACACTAATAAACTTCAAATAAGTGGAATACTAATAATATTTAATGACTTCCCATTGAAGACTAGATATGCTTTTCACATAAACTCTTCTTGACGAGGCATCTCCAAGTTGAAAGCGTTTTGATGAGGACATAATGATACTATTTATAGAGGAGCCTTTAACTATTTTGAGTGTGTAAACCTTGCACAAGATCAATGGAGATTGTGCATAATAAAATTCAGAGTCAGATCTTTCCAAAAGTGGTTGTCCAATCGATTTGGCTAAGGCTCCAATCGATTGGGTCATCAAGTCTCCAGAGATCTTGATCAATTTTCATCAATGTAAGTATTTGATTGACTTGCAGACAAAGTTTCAATCATACCGGATTTGAAAAGGAGCGTGCAAAGGTCCTCCAATTGATTAGCTCGTAGCTCCAATCGGTTGGGATTATTCAAATCAGCCTTCTTGGTAATTTTTAGGCCTTGTGCTGGATTTGTTTTGGCTTTCACACTTTTTACACCATTCCCAACTTATCTGTACCTTTTTCTAGAAAACTCATTTATTTGGTTAGCAAAAATATTTTAATTGATGAGCAAAAAATAAATGTATTATTTTAAAGTTAATCGAAGTTTTATGATCATTCATCTTTAAAATGGCGTTTGACCTCAATTATCAAGAATCCTTGGTAAAAACTCCCCCTTTCGAGAGAATGTCAACACAATATGGCACGTCCTTCCCTAAGGATCGTTAGATACGAGATTTGGTAAGCCACAAGATAGATATGTACTCTACAAATCGTATCTTAACCTACTACGAGGTTAGATGATCACCATCATTGATATACACCATCATCGATTATCCTTGGATCATTAGCGTTACACTAAACACTATTGTATACTCAAGAGTATATTCCTTGCATTTTACAACTTCATGCGGTAAGGCTCCATAAAAGCTTCAAAACAACCCTGCAAAACATACTAGGGTTTCACCTTGGGTACCCAATATTTGTGTGTTAGTGGTTCTGAAAGGTCAAGGGTTACTACGTTTAGACCTTTTTAATTTATCAAAGAAAAAAGGCTCTAAGTGGCCTAGTCTGTTACAATGAGAGTATTTATAAACATGTCAACTTGTTTTCTTGTTATTTAATCCTTTACTATGCGCTCTATTGGATATAAATCATAATTCACTTTTATTTAAGGAAGGCCTTTAAATTTATAAGATCAAGTCAAGGTTTTTTTTTCCTGATTAAATTTACTTAGGATTTCATGCAAGTATGTTACTTCTTTTTTCATCGAGACACAAGTCTCAAATATTTCAGTTGAGTTTCTAA